GGTCCGTGCAGTGACCCCACCTGCGTCCCCATGATGGCGCTGGCATCCCCACGGCGACCCCGGGGTGCCCACAATGACCCCCCCCCATCCCCGCAGACCCACTTCATGCAGTGCACAGAGCACAATGCGGAGTTTGAGGGCCTCGACTGCGAAATCTTTGAGTCGCCGGTGCCCATGACCATGGCGCTCTCCGTGCTGGTCACCATTGAGATGTGCAACGCCCTCAACAGGTAGGAGACGGGCTCCAGTGTCCCCCCTCTGCATGTCCCCCCACGTGTCCCACCTGTGTCCTCCCTGTCCCCGCAGCCTCTCCGAGAACCAGTCCCTCATCCGCATGCCGCCCTGGGTCAACATCTGGCTCGTCGGCTCCATCTGCCTCTCCATGTCCCTCCATTTCGTCATCCCCTCTACATCGACCCACTGCCTGTAAGCAGGGGCCAGGGGAAGGCAGGGGGCTTGGGGAGGGGATTCGGGGGGCCAGTACGGCTCAGCGCATCCCTCCATCGACGCCCTGCCGCAGATGATCTTCAAGCTGACGCCTCTGGACGCGATGCACTGGTTCATGGTGCTGAAGATCTCCTTCCCCGTCATCTTGCTGGACGAGGCACTCAAGTTCGTCGCCAGGAATTACCTGGAGGGTGAGGACGCGGCCCTGGCCCCAGCACCCCTCCAGCCCTCCCCAGCCGCTCCGGCCCCTCCAGCCCTTCTTCCCCTCCATTCTTCCATCCCTCCGTGTCCATCAACCCCGACCCAGCCTGGACACCTTGTCCCCCAGGGCTGGGACAGGCCACAGAGCCCCACGGCTGGGCAGCTCTCGCGTTGTTCCGTGGCCGCACCGTCCAGCCCTTTCTTCGTCCCACCGTTCGCCTCGGTCTCTGTCCCTCCCTGAGTCAGTTCCACCATCCCACTATCGCTCCGTCCCTCCGTCCCACTGTCACTCTGTCCCTCCATCCCACAATATCATTATCACTCTGGTCCTCCATCCTTCCAGCAGTTTTGTCGTCCGTCCATCCCTCCATCCTTCTATCTTGCCATTCCTCCCTCCTTCCTTCCCTCCCTCCTTCCTTCTCTCCATCCCTCCATCCTTCCATCTTGCCATCCCTCCAATCCTTCCCTCCATCCTTCCATCTCGCCATCCCTCCCATCCATCCCTCCATCCTTCCCTCTCTCCATCCCTCACCATTATCTCATCTTCATTCCTCCCTTCTTGTAGCATAAACTCATGTCCCCTCCATCGTCCTTGGGCCTGGCCACAGGTACTCACCTGTCACCCTGTTGGCTGTGTCCCTGTCACCCTGCTTGTCCCCGTCACCCTGTTGGCTGTGTCCCCATCACCCTGGTGTCCCTGTCACCTGCCTGTGTCCTCCTCAGCTCATGACCATGTCCCCATCATCCTGCCTTGTGATGGGGTGTCCTTGTCTCCCCGTGTCTCCTGCCACCCCACGTGTGCCCATCACCCCATGGCTGTGCACCCCGTCACCTCTCCGTGTCCCTGTCACCCCATGTGTCCTGTCACCCCCCGGCTGTGTCCCCATCACCCCTTGTGTCCTTGTCACCCCCCTGCACCCGTGTTGCCCGGGGTTGG